CCCTGCGTTACATAAATTCACAAAAGAAACTCAATGCACGACATGGTCGCTGGGTTGAATTTCTTCAAAAATACACCTACACCATCTGTCACAATGCCGGAATTGAAAGTTTATAAATTGAACAAAGTAGCACCAATTATAAATTTATTGCTGATAAGAAAAGAAGGTTTAAGGAATTCAAAGTTGGAGACTTTGTGATGGTACGGATCCGCCCAGAGCATTTTTCTCCTGGCTCCATAAAGAAGTTGCATGCAAGAAGCGCCAGACATTTTAAGATAATTTCAAAGGTTAACAGTAATGCTTATGTGCTGGACCTCCCAAGAGGTTTTAACATAAATCCTACCTTTAATATAGAGGATCTAGTAGCCTTCGAGGGTCCTGAATTTAACCCTAAGAATCCACTCTATAATGAGCCTCGTGTGACCCTGCATGGTGAGATCCCTAGCTTTCCTCCACTTCCCAATTTGCCTCATTTACCCAAATGCGGAGAAGATCGAAACAATCCTAGATGATGAGATTATTTCCACAAAGGAAGGAGGGCGCCGAAGGTACCTAGTTCATTGGAAAGGAACATCGAAAATAAAAGACACATGGATTGATCGAGAGGAGCTACAGAGTTTGGACCCGGATCTCCTAGAGCTGTACGAAAGCTCTACAGACACTTACTCGACAGGGTCGAGGTTTCTCCCACTTGGAGAGAATGATGAGGACATTGACAGATGTTTTCGACGAGTATATCAGCGCAGGAGGCGCAGATCGATGGACACGATCCACAACATTTATTTTGATGCTTAGTTTTATTTTGATGTTATGTATTAATTGCTATTGCCGATTGTACCATTTCTTTTAGTTGTCTTGAGTTGTAGCCCATTGTACTTTTTGTTTCCTTAGGCCTATATATTATGACCTCCTCTATTGTATCGGATGATGAATTACTTTGAATGAAATTTTATGTTCTTGTTTGATCTCTTAGTGAGTTCATGAGAGGAGAAGCCCAAGGAGGGTGAGAGTAAGACCCGTCAACCATCGGTTGATTCCAAGGTTCGTGGCCCCTTTTTCTTCTTCTTTCCCTACACACCCAAATCCTCTCCAAGCCAAGCACCTGCCGGCCTCACCTAATCCCAAATCCCGCAACCCGTTTCCCCCTCAACCCGAGCTCCTTGCATCATCACGTCGGCCACCTAGGGGATCCAACCTGCCGGCCCAACCTCTAGCCGCCGGCCTCCCCTCCTGCACCACGCTTTCCCCACCCTCAACCGCCAGCCCCTCCCCTCTCCCCAATTGTTTTCAAATTTTGAATTCAATTTGATTGAATTCCAAAATTTTCAAATTTGACAAAAGCCAAATTAGGAAAGTTTCAAATGACATTCAATTTAAATTTAAATTGAATCGGATTTGAAATCGTCATCCCTAGTTAAGACAAATTAGGAAACCCTTAACTCCCTTCCCCAAACCCCTCTCCCTCTCTTAATGCCGCCGTCCCTAGGGGGAATCCCGATTGATTTCCCCTCTTAATTTCCCCCCATCCCCACTTGGAATTTGAAATTCAAATTCAAAAATTTTTCCTCCGATTCTCCTTAAACTGAAATAAATTTCAGTTTTCCCCTAATTTCTTCAACCCCAACTAGACCTAGCCGCCTCCCCCTCCTTCTCTTCCCTAGTCCCCCCGAAATCTCCACCGTACCCTCCTCTTGGCCGCCTCTCCTAGGTAGCCACTCCTCCACCCCTACTTTCCACTACACACAAAGTCTTCTCAAGATCATGAATGACGGATCTGGTCATTGATCACAGCTTTGCTTACAATGCCCAAGGCGAGATCGACATCCTACTCTCTCCCTTCTACGAGCCGGATTGGGAGTACGATGGCATAGTGGAACGCTACGTCAATCACATTGTTTATTGTCTCGACGAAACCATCGAGCTTCAACGACCAAAAACCCTGTGGGTCCTCATCGGATGATCCTTGCCTCCACCTCTAGTTACCTTCCCAACAACCAAGCTCCTCGGCTCTTCCTTCCTAGTGGTCATCTCACTTCTGGTGTGGAAGATCTTCCTCCGCTAAGCCTAGAACCGTAGAGAGAGTGTAAATCCTCAAGCTGAACATCTCAATATTAAATTTTGGGTTTGTGTGATAAGCTATTACGTTACGTTCACCTTTGTATTTGATTGAGAGTGTTTTGGTCAATCTTCATGTATTTCTTTGCCTAAGCAAGTGGAAGACTGCTAATTTTAAACAACCTACTTTGATTTGATGCATAACTTTATGATGGTTAACTTTTATAAAATTATCTTGTTAATCTCTTGTAACTCCATGCATGTATCACATCAAAATTACTTGGATTTTTATTAAAATAAACTAAATTAATAATTGAGTTTTGGACAATAGGTGAAGCCATCTATGATTTAGATTTCATCAAAATGTATTATATTGGAAATTGTTTTAGTTTAATCCGTTGATTTGGATAATCGCTATAATCAGATCCAAAAATTGCTGCATATTCTCTTGAAACTATTAAAAAAAATAATTTTCTGGGGCATAAATTAACCACACTTCTCAATAAATTAAATGCAGCGAATCAAATGTAAAACAAGGATCACAAAGATTAAATAACCAAAATACAGATATATCTTCCATAAGTTGTGATATTTTAATTATGATGAATTTTTTTGTCTTCTCTCGAATCCAATCAAACCTCTAGATTAAGCAATTAATGGTCAGCCATTTGAGACTACAATTTGAATGGAATGTGAATTGATTAACCAAAAACAAAATCTAATATTCAACATTTGATTTCGTTAAATTCTTAGAAAAGCATTTAAAAAATCACATAACATGTTATAGATTTAATCCCTAAACTTTAACTCTTTAAGCAATTGCAACAAGTGCACGAATTATACCCTTGAATGCCTCATTAAACTCATCGCTAGCCAGAAGCTGAAACTGATGTTTAAATCAATTCTCACAACGCCTTAACATAAAATCAAGCAAATGAAACCAATTGGCATAAAATCAAAATGCAGCTCGTACAAAATAATGTGATCGTATGATTCTAGGATTTCAATCAACTTCATAAAGTTGCTTTTCATATTAATCTTCACTAAAATTTTCTGCTAATCAGTCAGGGTCATTACGACTTGAAAGTGCATTCAGAAAAATTAATAATATCAAAAACAGTAGTGATAATTAGCAATAGCATTTACAAGCATAATAGGTATCCTAAAGCCTACATGCGAACCATACATGTTATATTTATATATGAGTGGTGCACCCCAAAACTCTATTTCCCATAACGACTAACCATTTAACCATGAACATGTATAAAATTCTTTTAGATCACCGAATATGCTCTTGAGTCCATCAGTACACTAGATTGCTTCTTCCATTTGCCTCTCCAATGGAAAATTTTGGCAGGCTTTGGAATGAACATCAGTAGCAACCTTGCCACTCATCAAAATGCTCTTATGACGACTCTTTGACATCCAAGTACTTGAACTCCTAGGCAATGCTGGAACACCAACAACAACGTCGCCACTGCTATCAAAATGTTCCCATGATGACTATTTGTCATCAAAGTAATTCTTTAAGATAGGAATCTTCATTAATAGTTTCAAGGAGCTACATTCCATCATACCCAAGTTTAGATCCCTATCAAGAGTGTGCTCCTCAGCATCCCTTGTGAGCATCTCATTCTCTTCTCCACAAAATGCATTACCTTTGCCATCCTCTCAGAGGATCTCATTGCTAAAGTAACTTTCAAGTTAAGAGATGCGGATGATGCTTTCCCACACACTTAAAACATCTCCAAAGGCAAATTATTTTTGTCATGCGCCACAATTATGAAAGAAGAGCCTTCTCCTTGGACTCTCTTTTTCCCATAAGAGAAGTTGACAATTTTTTTATCTTCAATAACCATGAAAATGTTAGTGAGATGACTATCCACCGGTGAAGATGATATAGCAATCACCTCCTCATGTTTCCTTTTTTTTCTCTTGCTTCAAGAGTTAGGTTAATAGTTGGACTTACCATAAGTGCACATTGTGAGCCCTTATTTTGTCAGAAGAATATAGTTAACAATGATGATAAGAGAAGAATAAGAAAGTTTGAAAGCATCGTATTTGTTTTATACCAACTTCCTAACAAGGTGGAATTTATGTGGCCTACAAATCCACATTTTTTTTATACTTGTTCAACACTGTACATGTTGCAGAATCATTCTGATAGCTTATTTGGTAGCAAGATGAGCCTTGGATGCAGGTTTAGTTTCATGGGGGCCAATTGATAACAGGGGCCACAACCCAAAAACGTCAGTTACGAGTACTCAAATGACTTGATCACACCATTGCTCAACTCAGTTATAAACCAACTCGATACCTTGAGAGCTTCAAATAGTTGCATGAGGATTGATTTGATAGCCCAAAATGTCTGTCAGAAACACTCTCCATGTGACAATAATTTCACACACGAGTTTGAGAAGGTTATAACCACGTGTCATTTAGGAGGAATTCAAAATTTGTTACCGAGAGTATTTAATTTCAGGGGAATATTCGAAGATTTGGTCCTCCTTTCTGAAGGATATGGTTTCAATCATAGCTTTATAAATTGCTTGTGGTCGTTGTGGAGGATCCCTTGTTTGAATAAAGAAATAAGAGATCTCCACACCTAGTGGAGAGACTGAATTTGAATGTTCCAATCCTATGTCAACACATGGCATTGTGACATTGCATCTGGTTTGTGTGCGAGAATTCAATTATGTATATTTTGTTTGTATTAGTCTGTTAAATTAGCAATTTTGTATCACTCCTTTTGTGATTTATTCATTTAATTATATTAATTAATTCTTTAGTTTTATTGTCATGTTCACTGGGGATCGTCTCTCTTTATTACTTGTATTTCATTATTCCATAGCAGTTTAAAATTATCTGTCTTCGGGTCTATAAATAATTAAACAAGTTGTAAATCATGACCGTTAATTTATCCTAAAACTACCTTCCTAGTGCAGTCTATTGATGCATCCAAGGAGCATAACTGTATACCAGATGAGCACTATGTTCAGACATTGTTAGCAGTAAGTTTTTATAGGATTACGCAATTCAACTTATTTCATGCGACATTATTTAGAGTTTATTTAGATGTTTGTTTGGTACAATGTCATAATATGAGGATAAAATTTTGATACTATAAATATTGTGATAATTGTATAGTGCAAGTGCCAACATCCCACTACTATTCTATTTTGAATGGCTAGGAATGAAACCCATCTGATTTTAATTAGATCTATTCCAATTATTTAAAATTTAAAATGAAATTAATGTTTATGGTGAAGGTAATTTTAATACATAATAATTGTTGGAATACTTTTGGCTCATTATAAAAAGGGGAGAGTTTATATAAATGTGCAAGCATACATGGAGAGAGAGAGAGAGCAGAAGCTACCTAGCCTACTTATAAGGAGGTTGAGCAGTATCCAGTTAAACATAATTTTCCTTGCTTTAACAGGCTTTATGATGGACCATCACAGTCGTTGATTCTTCTTCATATAGATCATCGTCATGTGTCCATTTTGTTTTTAAACGTATTTTAATTGGCTTTCATATTTTAAATGTATAATACGGAAACATTATATCTCAACTTATTATTAATAAGTATTTTTAGTAACTATTATGGGCCTTTTTGGTGCCTTAAGACTATATGGAGCAATTCAAGACTACTGGGTCTTCTCTGCATCATTTTGTGTCGTAGCAAAGATTTATTGAAGATTCAAGAAGGGAATTAAAATAAAGTTGTTTTCTGTGCAGAACCCCTCTATCATCACATGATATTTATATTCTCTCCATAGCCAAACATACGCTTGAAGCTTTAGGCAAGTATTAATGAGAATTTGCAAGAGAGAGATTATCATGACCCGACCCAACATAACCCATATATCCTAATAAATTGTATTAGGTTATTTCCCAAGATATTTTATTGGAGAGAATTTTTATTTATCCTTTAATTCATAACAGAGCCACTAAAAATTATCAATATATAAAAAGAAGACATCATCCAGAACATATATACATTCAAATATATTCATATCAAAATATTTTGTACAATAATAACAATTTATCATCTTCATCAAAATATATTTGCTCATGATTACAAAAGAAATCATTTATCTCATAACAAAAAATACCATTGTAACCCTTTGGATCTAGACTGTGGGCGCTTTACCCTTTCCTAATGTTGATGTGGGCTCCGAAAATTCGGCCCCGGCCTCCGCCCACATTGCTTTTCTTTTTCGGGGGAGTTTTAACAGAATTAAGTTCCGAGGTAAATTTTGAAAGGCAGATGGTATGTAGATAAGGCAGTACCCAGAGATTTCGCCCTCAATTTGCGAGGACTTTATGATATGAGTTCTGGTTTCATATAGGCGCAAGCCCCTATAGTTAATTACCCCTCTCGATAATGAGAGAGAACTTTCGATTAAGGCTAGTCGTCGATCAGATACGTAGAGAATACGTGTTATCTGGCATATAGTAACAACACGGGCTTAAGAGTTTAAATGGTTGATATTTAAAATTGAAATTTCACCATCTTGCTCTTAAAGCAAATGGTGGGGGAATGGATGATAGACCGATCAAGATCCCATGGTTCCATCATCCCGGGTCATCGTGATCCCTGGTCTACTTAGTCAGAGGAGGTAGTCGACTCAACCTGACAGAAGTATCCTTATCGGCAGCCATGGGTTGCTTTGTCCAAGGGGATTTTGTAGACCTAGGGTGAATGTTTGTCTAAAAGGACAAATTTGAATCCACCATAGCTAACAGAGGGCTTTGTGCCCTATCGATTATATATTATTTATTCATATCTCAAGGATTTGATGCCATTAAGGAACTTATTGGCTCTGGCTATAACCAGTATTTTGTGGTGCCATTTGGCCGCAAAATCACTCGGTTCAAAGGGCCCTGAGTCATAACTATTTATCCTGCGGTACGATTTGGTGCAAAACTGCTGGTTAGAGGACACATACCACATCCTTACTGGCAGGAGATTGTTTGAGAATATATCTTAATTATATTTTCGACTAGGCATTAACTCTATATGAGTTGAAGTAAATTTTAATTTGTCCACCTCGACAAACTGTTGTGAAGGATGAATGAATTTTTCTTTAAGTGTTTTGATGAATTATTTTAATTTTAAATATTTTGGGTTTGGATGATTTTTGGAAAATTTGGATTTTGGGTGGAGCTTGTAAGGCATTTGAAAGTATTTGTGAACCCCTCCAGTTGTGATCTTCGTTCAACACGGCCATCATCGGGGTGTTTGGGGTCATTTTTATTTATATTTAATCTTGTCAACTCTGTCTAACTATCGACAGGGGATCAGGTTTGTGGGTTTTATGGTTTTGTTGATGATTTTTTTTTGTTATAGACTCTGTTTAAAATTGCGCAATAAGAGGCGCGCCTCTGCGTAATTCTGTCCAAAAGCGCCTCGAGCGCACGCAATTTGGGCACTGGTTGAGGCTTACACCTCGCCCTGTGTGAGGCGCGCCTCAATTGCGCAATTATGGGTGAGGCGTACGTTCGTAGCGCCGATGCTCCATAAAGTTATCGTGTCCTGAGCTGGCTCTGTCTACTTGAAATGAGCCTTTTTTTCCCCTTATACCTGAGAGTGTCACAGGGCTAGATTTCACGATTTATCACGCTCTGTAGAAGCCCCCAGGTCGCGAAACCGAGAACCCTAGCGGTCCTACGCTCAGCCGCTCTCCCGACGCCGCCTCCTCGAGATCTTGAAGTGTCCGTCCGCTTGTATGAGAAAGTCCACCTCGTTTGTTAAGGTTATTCTTTTTTAGTTCTTTTGGTTAGACTTTTCAAAGTGAAAGAAATTCTAGGGTTTTTGATTTTTTGCTTATATAATCTGTGTGTTATGAGATCCATATTATTGAATAGAGATACAGGGAAGGCGAGAGTAGGGTCTGCGTTTCATTGCGAGGACGCTTCTTGGAAATACTACGCTGTATTTATACACAGAGGAAGGGAAGATATACTATTATAGAGGTAGCAATGACCGCATATATATCATTCCTCATTCTAATGAAAAGACATCACATCACACAACATAATTCAAAATCTAAACCCTAGAATTTCTTTCAATAGATCTACACCACTAATACCGTAAAATCGTTTGTAGGACTTCTCCTACAAGGCGGACGACACTTCAAGATGCGTAACCGGGGAGGCGGATCGGGGAGAGGCGGACGAGAAGGGAGGCCGACCATGTCGCCGCGCGAGGTCTAACGAGTTTCGACCACGACCTGGGGACTTCGACGAGCGCGCAGATAAATCGCGAATAGCACCTAGCATCGAATAAGTATAACACACACGCACAGAACAGGGGCCACCCCCTCATTTAAGATTTTACGGTACCGAGCTAAATACTCTGGGGGGGGGGGATGCCACACCATTTGGATGCAGGCGTAAGCTACCCATAACTTGCGCAATTGAGGCGAGATACACACAGGGCGAGGTGTAATGCTCAACAGTGCCCAATGCGTGCGCTCGAGGCGCTTATGGACAGAATTACGCAGAGTGCGCGCCTCTTTATTTGCGCCCCAGTTGTTAAACAAGTCTATAAATATCCAAAACAAAAACAAAACCCAACCTGATCCACTGTCGATAGTATAGTCACGAGTTGACAAGATTAATATAATAAAAATGGACCCCAAACGCCCCGATCGATGGCTCGTGTTGAACCGAAGATCACAACGTGGTAGAGGGGTTCAAAATACTTTCTCAAAATGCCTTAACAAGCTCCACCCCAAATCCAAATTTCCAAAAATCTACCAAAGTGCAAATATTTAAAATTAAATAATCTCATCAAAACAGTACGGTAAAGAAAAATTCATTCTATTCCTTCACAAGTGGCGTGACGTCCTGATACTGAATATGGCCCTGCCTTCGCAACAATTTTGTCTCGAGGTGGACGCCAGCACTAGGACACTTATACGAGAAGCAGATGTAGGAACAGGTCACACCTATGTTATATATATGATATGCACAATGATTAATGGTTTATCTCAAGAAGAGCTCGAGGTACCGACTGGGACTATATTTGACAGCTAAGAGAGGACATGAGTGCGAGGCACAGATAGAGTTTAAGACGAGAGGGTGCCTCTGTCTGCGAGAAGCGTTGAAGTGGTGTTTGAGCGTGCAAAAATCGCGTGCCCTACAAAATACTGGTTATACTTCCAAGCCAATAAGTTCCTTAATGGCATCTAAATCTCTTGAGATATGAATAAATAATATATAATCGATAGGTGGCACAAAGCCCTTGTTTAGCTATGGTGGATTAAAATTTGTCCTTTAGAAAACATCTTAACCCTAGGTCTACAAAAATCCCCTGTGGACAAAGCAACACATTGGGCCGATAAGTGATATCTCGTCAGGTTGAGTCGACTACCTCTCTGAAAAGTAGACAGAGGATCACGAGTGACCCTGGAATGTGAAATCGCATTGGGAATATCTTGATTCGGTCTCTCATCATTCCCCCACCTTATCTGTCTTTAAGAGCAAGATGGTGAAATATCAATTTTAAATATCACCCATTTAAACTCTTAAGCCCGTGTTGTTATTATATGCCAGATAACACGTATTTCTCTACGTATCTGATCGAGCGACTAGCCTTAATCGAAAGTTCTCCATCATTATCGAGAGGGGTAATTAATCTAAGGGGCTTGCGCCTATATGAAACCAGAACTCATATCATAAAGTCCTGCAAATTGAGGGCAGAAATCTCTGGGTATCGCCCTTATCTACATACCATCGTGCCTTTCAAAATTTACTCCGGAACTTAATTCTTTAAAACTCCACTTCGCCAAAAAAAGAAAAGCAATGTGGGGGAGCGCCGGGGCCGAATTTTCGGAGCCCACATCAACATTGAGGAGGGTAAGCGCGCACAGTCTAGATCCAAAAGGGTTACAATGGTATTTTTTGTGTATATGGATAAATGATTTCTTTTGTAATCATGAGCAAATATATTTTTGACGATAGATGATAATTGTTATTATTGTACAAAATATTTGATATG